AACGCTAGGAAATTAATATTTTCCTTCTCATATCTTTTTCTGATCAGAATATCTTGCTTTCTACACATTGCATTACTACCCTAGAAGCAATATATGTGCATAAGCACATAATTATTACCAGACAATTGAATTTCTTGCTCAGGTGTTCCCTACAGATGTTCAAACTAAATCAACAAGCATATGTAAGCTGTCACTTACCTGTTTGGTTAGAAATCATATCTTTTGAACATGGAATGCAATCATAGCAACATATTGATTTTCCTTCTTGAAATATCTTGCATTGTCCAACATGACAACTTTCTGCACATAATGAATGGGGAGGTACCTAGTTTTATATAAGATGTAGAAAGCATTATCATTATCCCATTTTAATCCTATGTATTTATGAACCTATTCAAGTTCAGGGTTTTCCACAAAGAAGAGGGAGTCAAACTATTTTTCAAGGCACCTGAGGATAGAACAAGAAGCAAGAGAAGCAACTTAGAACTGAGGAGAAATTTCCTGACAGTTAGAACAATTAATCAGTGGAACAACTTGCCTCCAGAAGTTGTGAATGCCCCAACAATGAAAGTCTTTAAATGGCTATGTTGGATAGCCATTTGTCTGAAACAGTATAAGGTTTCCTGCCTAGGTAGGGGGTTGGTGTAGAAGACCTCCAAGGTCCCTTCCAACTCTGCTATTGTATTGTGCAGAGGCGTAACATATTCCTTCAGCACACCAAGATCTGCGAGTGACAGAAAACACTAACAGTTGACTCTGTATTATTTTGGATCTCAAATTAAGTAACATAATGCAATCCAACTGTGTACAAACCACATGAAACAGAGAGGGCTCTGTGCAAATACCTAACTAAATGCTAACTCTGAAGAATTATAGTATGAATGGGTAGGTTGTTCAGGATGAATAGGAGAAGGAATTGTATCAATATATTGATATTTAGATTGCATTAAACTTGTGTTTCCAGTTTCTTCAGCTTGATAAAAGGAGTATGAACCAGCGTTGCTGGAAGATTGCTTAAAAATGTCTGTCAGTATGGAACTCCTCTTTTTATACAATGCATTTCTCATTTAAGTTGTCTTAATTAGAACTCTCTAAATTTATTTGCAGAATTCAATACAGTTAAGGATGAGATCTCAAAGGCAATACAGTGGTACTTTGGTACTCATTGCTAATTGGTTCTGGGAGGTGTGATGAGTACCAAACAAAAGAGCACCCAAAAAATTATTTCCATAAGGACTAATGTATTGAGTCATAAGGCAGCCAACATCAACAAGTTCTCAAACAAACAATGAGTACCAGGACAAATCTTTTGCATCAAAATGCATTGAGTAACAAATTCTATGAGTTTTAAAGCAGTTGAGAACCAAGGTACTATTGTAAAACCTTCTGGCTTAAAACAGAACACTTATGCTCCTGAATGCTAGGATGCCTATAAAAAAAAAAGAGGAATCTCTTACTTGTGATTTCGGTTTTGCACAGACTGTTGCTGAACCTGCTGAATCTGCTGAGGAGCTGGCCTTTTGCGAGACTGGTCCATTCCTGACTGAGCCATCCCAGGTCGGACAGAAGGGCTCCCACCGTAGCCTGGAGGTCCCATTGCAGGTCCTTGAGGAGTCATGCGGCTACCAGGCAACATTCCAGGGCGCTAAGAAAAGAAACAAATTGACTGTTGCCATACCTAAGAACTCAACTGCTGCTTCTTGTTCTCAGCTGCAACAGAATCAAGTAGCGTCCCTCCTTTCAATGTACCAGTTCAGAAACGAAATTGTCTGCACCTTTGAAAAGAACCCTCAAATAACTTTCTTTTTAAAAACATCTCATAGAAGATTCAGTATTCCCACTCCCCCAATAAAGTTTGATGGAAAAATATCCATATATCTATTTTTGTTTTAAAAAAAACCTTTTCTGATTTGGGAAGCATATAGCCATGCAACTCCTGCCTACACGAGTATATCATTCAGGGGGGAAAAAGTGGTATGATTCAATTTGCCATCACCTTCTGATTTCCACCACTCCCCCCTAGAATTTGGAACCTGGATGAGATAGGCAGTTTTACTCCCCTTTCTCAATATATTATATTTTTGATGTTTGAATGGGAAGCTTAACAAAACCAAGGAGTATTTCCTGCACTCCGAAGTTCTTCCATCCTAGATGTTCATCCACCATTAACCGCCCAGAGCCATACAATGCCTTCCCCGCCCCGCACCCCTCTAGGTCCATCCTCACATTCCTTTCTTTTCTCCCGCCCAACCACGAAGGCAGGCGGTCCCTGCCGTCGCCCGCAGCCCCCCGAGCTCTCTCCTAGAACTCTGCCCTTGCAGCCTCACCCCCATAGTCCCTCTATTGGTCAATATATCAATATATCTATATGTCTTTATGGCGCGGGTCCCCCTCTCAGCAGCCGCCTCTCGCCCTCCATCTTCCAGGAATGGCTCCCGTCCTCCTCTTCCCCTCCGAGCCCCGCCCACTGCAGCTGAGCCGCCTCTCCCCTCTCCCCCTCCTCGACCACCACCAGCCCCCTCAGTGGCAGAGCAGCATCTCGCGCTCACGCTTGGCCTTTTAGAGCTCCGCCCCACACCAAGGGCCGCCCCCTTTTTTTCCCCCTCAGCCGGGCCGGACCGGTACCGGGTATGCAGCGCCGGGCAATGGGGAGCGGTACATTCCTTGTCCGGGAGCCGGGCCCATCCGCACGGGAGGCCCCGGCGTCCCTTGTCCTAGCGGACCCGCCCCAGGGCCGGCTCCACTGCCGCCACCGCTCGGAGCTACAGCCTGGAAACCCGCCCGCGCCGCCATCTTCCCTCCCTCGGCCGTACAAAAGCAGGCGGAGGGCGGATGTGGGGTTGGGATGATTTAGTAAGGCTTTGTCATAGACATGCGCAAGTCTGCGGGAGATAGAGCGTCGCCGGATTCGGCTTCGCGGGGGAAGGAGGGACTCGCAAGGAGAGGCGCGCTGGGCCTCGTGGCTCGCTGGTGTTAGAAAGGGCTGAGAGGGAAATCTGTATCTTAAAGTTACTTCCTTTTTCCAAATAAAGAGGGGCACGCTCAGTTCTGAAGGACCTCAGTCCCACTGCTCGAAGTGCATAGCTAAAACTACAGACTTTTTGGAACTGGGTTAACTCGGTTAAATTAAATCCAGATTGAGGCAGGTGAATAAGCCAGTCTGCGCTGATGGATCCATTAATGTCCAGCGTCATGTACAGTGATTTTTCTCAATTTGTGCTAAAACTAACAGGAATCGGTTGTTTTTTTTTGCTAATTTTTTAAAAGTTTTTATTTATTTTATTTTATCATTTGTTGTCATACTCCAAATTTCATTATACCACAGGAATGGGTTGTGGCAAGGCTGAATACTGCAGTGCCAAAAGTTTTTTGTTTTTTTTAAAGTCATGTATTACAACAGGGATTTAGTAACTGAAACGAAAATCGAAAGTATATTTTTGGGATTGCAGAAGCAAATTGTTTGAAACTAGTGTACGCCCTCACATTTCACTGGGTTCCTTTTCTTTTAAAAGGTACGTTTGTTGGGACAGATGTAAACACTCCACTAAAAATACTGTACTGATAGTCCTTGATTTATGAGACATTTGTTAAGTGAGTTCTGCACCATTTTATGACCCTTCTTGCCACAGGTGTTAAGTGAATCCCTGTAGTTGTTAAATTAGTTAAATTTGTAACACAGTTGTTAGGTAAGTTTGGCTTTCCCATTGACTTTGCTTGCCAGAAAGTCATAAAAGTGATCACATGACCCTGGGACACTGTAATGGTCATAAATGTGAGTCAGTTGTCAAGCATCTGAATTTTAATCACATGATCATGGGGATGCTGCAAGGTATAAGTATGAAAAATTGTCATAAAGCACTTTTTTTAATGCTGTTGTAACTTAACGGTTACTAAATGAACTATTGTAAGCCGAGGGCTACCTATATAATATGCTTCATGAAATTTACCTTTTTGCTTCAAGATGTCTGCACAGCTGCCAGAAAGAATTCAGATTCTTTTAATCTGAATTCTAAAATATAGGCTATGTAGTCACAAACTGCCCTAAATTTAAGACATCTCTATTATCTCCAACTTTTTGTTTCTTTCCTTGATGAAGAGCTTTGGAAAACTTGAAGGCTTGTGTGTTTTGGGGGGCAGTTCTCAATAAAAATATTATCCAACTCTGAATTTGGGTAGCAGTTGACATGGGTATTCGTTTTCTTTAATTTGGATTTTTTTACTGATGTAGTTGTAGTTGAGTTTATTTATAGGCCGCCCTTTTCCCTGAGGGGACTCAGGGCGGCTAACAACTTGTATGGGAGGGGAAAACATACAATAANTGTGGAGACTCTAGAAAGAGTGCAGAGAAGAGCAACAAAGATGATTAGGGGATTGAAGACTAAAACATATGAAGAACAGTTGCGGGAACTGGGCATGTCTAGTTTAAGAATTATAGTGGAAAATAATTATTAAGTATAGGATACTCAAAAATAATTTATTGGCATTTTAGTTATGCAATATTGCTCATAGAGGATCTTTTTAAAAAGCATTACAAAATGAAATATATATTTTACCAAAAAATGAAAAAAATGCATCAGAAAATAATATTTTGGTAATTATCTTTAGCCACATTAAGTCTATAGCAGTCATGGTACTGTGCATTCAGTCTGCTGCATCTGTAGGTTAAAATAAAATAATTCATCCACACTTGCAAGTATTTGATGCTATTGTTATAGACATATGAACTAGCCTTCAAATCATTGAAATACTGTTTTTTTCTGTTCAGTCAAAAGAAACATGCTTCCTATTCTCACCATAGAATTCTAAAACCAGGATCTTTTATATACTCTAATGAATCAATCTCTTTTTTTCTTTTTTTAGTCTCTCTCATTTACTGTCATAAAAAACTTATAAATTGTATCTCTATGGCAGGAGATGATCCAGACACCATTAATTTGACCATCCATGCTTGTCACTAAGAGCTTTATCGAAAACATCATTCTGACATTAAATTATAGGCTGGCACTGTCTACATCTTTTGATGTGGTATAGCTAGGATTTATACATCTGTTTTCAAGAAAGAGAGTTTATGAAATATCAAGGTCTCCATTTGCCAATCCCTGTAACGCTTAGATATGTATTGCCACTTAAATCCAAGCACGACTGCTTTAGAATGGTGGTTATGCTCCTAAGAGGATTCATTTAACATTGTAAAGATTTTTTAAAAAAAAAGATATATAGCATAATTTTCATTTTGTTATTAAGCCAATTGTGTAGTTAAAGACATCCATTCCCTCGGTAACAATAACAGCTAGTGGAACATGAGGTTCTTTAGGAGCTCCACGGTAACGGCTTTTCTGTTCAATTTTAGAGAAAAGCTGTTCAAAACCTCATTCCATATTCATAAGAGTTTGAAACTGAGGCTTTTGAAATTGAAATTATTTATTTTGATGAAAACTGAAAACAAAGTCTTAGTATTATTTGCAAACTCAACTTGCTCTGATAGTGAGATGAGCAACATATAAATTAAATAAATAATGTTGGTTAGTTTGCACTTATTTGTACAAAGTACAATAAAAAGATTAGATTTTCAACATGGAGGTGTGGATCTTTCTTATTTTACGTGATTGTCACTTAACCCAAATATTTAAAAAAAACCACACTAAATCATCTTAGAGTCAAGGCTGATTCATAGCAGTCATCCCAACAGTCAAAGAAAGGACATATTCTCACTGCTGACATATTCTGAAATGTTTTTAGATAAGAACATTTTTTGAAAAAGAATCAGATCACGGCAAGGGAATAGACTCCATTCCTTCAATATTTGAAAGACAAACAGTCTCTAATTTCTTCTCTTACTGACCTCTGCCTTGTATCACTCATGTCACTTGTTTAATTAAACACATATTATAGTATACATATTCTTTTTTCCCCAGAATCTAATACTCCTGCAAACTGACATACATTCTCGTGCTCGAGAAATAGAAACTGGGAGGAGGCTGTGCAGACAAGATAACCATGCTTCACATGGTTCAAAAGTCAGCAAAGGCAAAAAGAAGGAATAATTCCTATTCACCTCAGGTGTGTTTCCAAGATCTTTATCTGTGGAAGTATTTTTAAATGAATGCAATATTTTATTTCATATTTCTATAAAGCCTCATTTCCTCTCATGTTTTTTGCTTTTTTTGCCTGAACATGGCTTGATTTTTTTCTGGCTACAACAAAAGCTCAGCTGTTTTATACCTTTGTATTTATTAGCATCTATACTTATGATGATGAACCTATGGTACGGGTGTCAGAGGGGGCACGCAGGGCCTTTCTGTGGGCACATGCGCCATCGCCAACTGTTGTTCTGGTTTCCGACATGCATGGTTTCCAGTTGGTCTTTGCGGGCGCCAGAGCACTGGAAAACAGCCTGAAAAAACAGCCAAAAACCAGGGTGTTTTTGGCCCCAAAATGGCCTGAAAATGGTCCCAAAACCATCCTGAAAATGACCCGAAAACCATCCTGAAAATGGCCCCCAAAATTCAGGCACATCCACTCCAACACGTGCACATGCACACGAGTTCTGGTTTGGGCACTCGGTGCCGAAAAGGTTTGTCATCATTGATCTGTACTTTTGAAGGAGAACACATTCTAATCCTCTCATAGGCCTTTTGTTTTCTGTATGGCTCACCCGTTTTGTGACTATGATTAAATTATATCAGTCCAAAAAGATGCACAAATCACTTTTCAGCAAGAAAGCAAATAAAAAACTCTATTCTTACTTCCTTACAATTAATTTAACTACCTTCATTCACAGATGCATGATCAGTATTTAAAATCCTTTTTCCCCTTAATACTTTCCATTAAAAGTTTGGAGGCGAGACTCCTCTCCAGCCAATGTTACTCCCATTCTTCCCATGATTGTAAAGAAGAGGGAAGAGGACTTATTTTTAATTGCTTCTAAATATTAACTGTCATAGGTTTCAGAAGGATTTCGCTTTACTTTTTCGAATATAGCAGGTACTCATCCATCCTTTATGGGAGAAAAGAAAGGAAAGCACTACAAATGTAAAAGGATTCAAGTGTTTCTTCTTTTCATATCTTCAAACTGCCAATCTTAACCTCTGTAGGTACAATTTCATATGCAACTAAAAGCATTGCCTGATTGCAACTTGACCTACTCTGAATTTGTGGATAACCCATTTCTATCCAACTCAAATATAGATAATTAGCTTATCATAATTTAAGATCTTCTTGTATCTAGTTGTCCTGTCAGTGGCCTTCAGCAAAGGCCTTCTCCAAGCAAACCATTTCTAAGAAATGGCAGGCTATCGGCTAACAGGATTTCTGTAAGAATTTCTTCAGCTTCTATGGACAAAAGAGGCTCTTCCCTACAGCTGATGTTGTGAGGAGTAGGATTTGGGCACACATCCTTGCTACCCCCAGATGCATTTGTTGGTTTTCTCTCCCCCCCTCCCCCCAAATTATGGTAGCATTTTAATAACAACAATTTTCCATCATGCCAAAAAGGATCATTTTACTTTTGTGAACAACATTAGGCTTCTTCTAATAAAACCTAAATTGCAGAAATTGACTAACATATTCCTTAATTACTGATGCCTATCATTTTCTGCTTTTTTGCCAGCTTGCTTCAATTTTCCTATTTCTTCCCAAGTCTTATTTTTGGCTTTCCACTTATTCTCCAACGACTGTCCTCTTTTCTCTTTAACTCTCCCAACCAATTCTACTAATAACTTCTTCAAAATGATAATTACTTTGATTCTAAGTAGAAGACTAAATTATTCCTCAGACTCTCCAAATGAAAGTTATTCTTCTTTCTGTATGCCG